ACAGAATATATATATATATATATATATATATATATATATATTTATATATGTGTGTATATATACACATACTCATACGTGTGTATTTATATATACACACACATAATCATACTAAATGGACCCACTAGGTCTCCTAGTCTACAAAACATGTTTTTGTATATGTTTTGTAGGCTGGGCCTATGTCGTTGGCTACAGAGCCAAGAGAATGACTTAGAGGCATGGCATTATGAAGAAAGCAGCCTGTCAGTTTCCTTGGAGGCAAAGCTAGCTGCAATTTAGAGACCTGGATAACAATTTAATCTAGACTATTACTTTCATAGGAGCTGGTGATACCTTCTACTTACTGATATTCAGAAATGGGCCAGTGAACTAGGGACCAAATTTCACTGATGTCCTTAGTTCAAATCAAACCAGTAGGCAAAGAATTGGTTTATGGTTCAAAATGGCTTTTTTCAAAATGTTCACAGCTTTTCAAGTTCAAGTTAAATAAAACAACACAGTGGTTCCTGAGTTCCAAACATTCATTGTGTGTAACACTGCTGAGTTTGACCTGATGTCCTAGATGAAAACATTTAGCTTTTTATGATGTCTGGTAATGCTGCAGTTTTACTCAATTGTACTTTCAGGTAATAATATTTATTTATCTATGTGTTTATACAGCAGTTCATATTCTGTTGAATGTGATGGTGAAACTAACCCTTCCTTTACAGCTGGGGCAGCACAGAGTCGTGACCAAGTGAATCCATTTCATAGATGTAACATTGGACTGCACTTTCCAGAGGGTCTACAGCATCCACATGGGTTCCTTACCGTGTCATACAACTTCATATGTCCATACAACATCCATGTACCTCACTGAAATACAGCCCCTCACCATGGCTGACATTCCACCCATGTATCTCTACGTCACCAAAATATAAGGGCTCTGTGTACAACTGGACAGGTCATCGTGGCAAAATAAACGGAGTAGCTCCAGTTATTTTGGTGACAAATGGCTAACGAACCCATGTTTTTCCTGTAGAGGAAAATTCCAGTAACTAGTTGCCATTTTGCTATTAGTTAATTGTTTGAATCCAGAAAAAAAAAAAGATGTTCGCTATCTAGCAGTTGCAACGTTGAAATAAAAATTCAGGTTTGTAAAAAAAAAAAAAAGTGCAGTTACAATCTACATGATCAAGATTAATTCCCAAATATTGTGGTGCATGTGCTCTTCAAGAGTTCCCGCAGACCTAGGAGACCGAGACAGTTGCATATTGATGGATCTAGGTCTTTAAAATAAGGATCATTGGTGTCTTATTTAAAAAGTACAAATTGTCTTGTAAAAAAAACATTCTTTCTAAATATTCATGGGCTTATACGTTCACATTGTGAACTTGAGACAGTCAACATGTTGCTCAGTGTTCATTTGGGTAAAAACTACTGTTTTTAACAAAGAATGCTGAAAGAGGGAGTAGTAACAGGAAGTAGAAACCCAACCCATTTTTCTTGTCAGAATATTTTGTAAGAGCCATTGGAATGGCCTTTGACTCTGGGTATGTCTTTTTGGTCACCGACTTATGTGACCAAATTGAAGCTTTGTCAGCTCCTAGTTTGTCATCAACGATCATTTACCTAAATATATTTAAAGTATACCTAAAGAAAAAAAAAATGTTTTCTCCATCTAAGTCTCTGTACGGAGATCTCCCTTCACTTCCTGTCGTTTAGACTCAACAGGAAGTGAAAACATATCTATCCATTGTAGGGAATATCCCTACTTAGACAGCTGTCTTGGGAACAAGTGTCTCCACTAAAAGATTTCCCCTCTCTGCCTGTTCTGGTGGAAACCCAAAATTTTGTATCTACCCTCACGTTCATTCCTGGTGATCAGGACAATTAGAGGGAGCTAACGGGGATACAGACAGCAAAACAAAAATTGACAAAGGATCTAACCTTTCACAACGCCATCTACATTTAAAAAAAGTTTTGCCTTTAGTTATTCTTTAAATGTTATTGTTATTTTACATAGGCCAAGAAATGTTTTAGGTTTAGCAGCTCCATACAAAGGCAGTACCATAGGAACATGTTTACATTTACAGAAACCTTACATAAAATCTAAATCTTGCTTAATTGCTTAATAAGTCTACATGTGTTTTTGTAGTCTAATTTGGTTAAAAAAAAACACTTCACAATGAAGACTATAGCAAAGCATTTTCTTTATCAAAACAAAACTAGATAATATCTATTCCAGGATTTATTTTTGTTGGCCAGAACAATGGCTAGATCTTTAAATGAGACATTTATAATAATAGGTGACCTAGATTCCATTTAATTTTTATACCATGTAAAAAAAAAGATACATGTGTTGCACTTGTCTGCATAAGTAGACACCAAACTTTGCATCTCTCAAGAGCTTCAAGCTCCTCAAACATATTTGGGGCAACAGTACTTTGGATGAAAAAAAAGTAAAAATGATCAAAATATAGATCAAGATATGAGCATCGATCAGGAAAATGATTTTGGCTTTTGCTGCAAGTAACAGAATTAATCCAAACATTAGTTATTAGTGTCTGGTCTCTCGTAAATTCTCTCCTTCAGTAAGGACAGAAGTCTGCTGGCAAGTAGCACTAGACCTTCGGGAGCACCACAATTTTCACTTGCCAACCTTCTAGAAAGCCCCTGCTCCCTTTGTTAACGTAGAGGGACCTTTCCGTACTTGTTACGTGTGCCTTTCACTATGTGCCGACTCTATTGTGAAAAACACTCTTACAATCTGAGACCTCTCTACAGGTGGGAACAACAGAGGGCAAAAGTCTGTCTCGGTACTAGAAGGAAGGCAAGTTGAAAAGACCTATTTGTTTAAGCAAAAATTTGGATTTGGGATAATACATGGAGCAAAAATCTAGACATTCCACGCTGATCCATCCCGCTTTCTCCCTCATTTGTGCATGCCTACTTATAAGGAAAATGACAGATCCCAAAATGTATCCCATATATGGTGCACCATCACCAGTGGAATACATTTTTGTTATATCCTTTACTGGGTATAACAGAGCGATCCTCATCTTTTCTTTTCTCTCCCACCTTTTATGAGTTCACAACATTTTCTTATGCAATGTCAAGAAACGCAGATGCTTCTCTTATTTTATTTGCTGTTTATTTTTTAAATTATTTTTTATTTTATATTGGTTTTTTTTTGCTTTTGAAAAAAATATACGCTTTGCGCCAATGCACCATTAAAAATTTTGAATACATTTTTTACAGAAAATTCATACAATGGCCGCTTTCTAATGCAGTCTTCTATCTTTCTTGTGACATAGACTCCAGCTTACAGACCTTAGCTGTCCAGTTAGCCCTTTCAGCCCCAGGAAGAGGCCTAAACATACACACTTTTGCAATGGCCAGAGCCGACCCTGGCCTTAGACGGTCACCACATTCTAAAGACTGTCGAAAACAATGACATTAAAGATCAGAGTGAAGTTATATAATTTGGATGGGAAGACAAAGTAATAGTTGTTTTCCTAAATTAGAAAATATGTAGTTAGACTTGTAGGTGCCCAAGGACCAGTTTATTGGTGACAGCGACAGAGTTTTTGGAAACTAGCAAAAACTTGGAATTATTTTTGAACTTGCGGTGACCACTCTTTACTTGGCCCTATCAACATGTTAAGAACTGAGGCTACACATGGAAGCATATGAATTAGACCTTAGTCATTAGCATGGCCCACCATTTGTCCTGTAGCTAACTCAGTAACCCATACTTAGAAGCCTCATTAGATATGGCCACCAAAACCACTTGTCCCTATGGACTCTATTCAGTTGAGAAGTAGTTGAAGGAGAGGCACATTAGGTATCTAATTGCTTATACATATTCATTTTAGGATAGAAAAAGTGGTAGAGCAGAACCTGACCCTAAAAAGAAAGCCTCTTTTAGGTCCATCACCTCCACCCTGGCCTCCAGCTTCAAGAGACGTAGGTCCTCCAAAGACACGGTAAGGAAGAAGAATTGAGCTTTCTCTCTCTCTCCTTCTCTCCCTCCTTTTTCTCTCTCTTGCTTGCTCTTTCTCTTTATTGCTTACTCTCATTTTCTTCTCCTCTTTACACCCTTGGCTATTTCTTTCCCTTTTTCTTACATTCTCTACCTCTATTTCTTCTACTTTCTTCTGCCATTCCATTGGTTGCCAAACGCCCATTCAGAAGCTGCACATTTTACATGCAGTGCATCCCAGCCCCATGTTTCGTCAACAGTCAGTCATCAAATGTTAACAAATTGAACTTTCTAAACTTTGAACATGGAGCCAGTCTCTAAATTATTTTTTGTTAGCACTGATGCCGCTAAATTCATTTTTCCTCTTTTTTTTTCCAATACCGTTTATTGGTGCCAATCTTTAACAACAAGACTTTTTTTGTTGTTTTTTTTGAGTGTTTTTCCTGTTTGTTGTTGTATGCCTTCTGGATACACTGTATTTTATTTTGGCAAAGATTCACATCACTAAGAGTCATGTTTGTGTCACAAGTATGTGTACTTTTTTGTTTGTGATGACAGCATTTTGCTAAGGAGAACCCCCACCCCCACTCTCCACCCTCACGATTTCCCGTAACTCTCAACCCCTACAAGATATGTTCCATCAATTCCAAATGCAACAATTTGCTTTACTGATATCCTGACAAAAAAAAGGAAAAAAAAATATTTTTTGAATATGCTAATACCAATATAGAGCTATGATTATCGACTGTCAAACTGTTTGTTAGTGACTCCCACTGTTGTTTTTCAATGTGTGAGTTTGTTTAGGTTAGATTTGTTTCTAGAACAACTGTGGAAAAAATATATGTGGATGTACCATGTTCTAGGTTTGTATACTGTCACAATGTAATCACCTTGTATAAACATACATACATCTATAGGATCGGAGAGCAGAGCTAGACACATAATTAGCATCTTAAGATTTCCTAGAGCTAGCATCAGCTGACACGGGTAACAGACGTAGGCCTTGTTTATTTAATCTATGACGAGCAATGGTCCTGATCCATCAAGACGTGAGAGGAGTACAAAAGTTGCTGCTCTTATACTTTGTTTTATGTGTTACTTCAGCTATAATTTGGCCGCATAGACACTTAAATCTTAATTTATATATGTGAAACTTTGATATGCACTGGCTAGTTCTCTGCTCCTGTTCTTTCGATTTAAAATAGTTAGGTAAGAAAATATACCATTTACCAAAGCTCTTTTAGTGTAACAGTTTTGAGCTAAAGAGGTGGAAACATTTAAACATTTTGTGATACATGAATTCTCTCATACATAAGAGAGTAAGCTAATTAGGGCACCCATCATACAAAGCATACTTATAATCTATTGCCTAGTACAAAAATAAGGATTTCAGTACAATGACTAGTATACAGTATACAAAGCAGGCTTTCACTTTGATACCTAATATACAAACAAAGCTTTTATCGTGATAGAAGATATAAGAGCAGTTTCCTGCCTGGTAGTTGTATATAATAGGCTTCTAATTTCATGACTAGTATATAAGGAAAAATTCTAGTATATGAAGGATACAGAACAGGATTTTTAGGTGGAATGGCTATGATATAATTCAGATCTGGGGGTCAAATGCTTGTATGGTGCAAACTACATGCCCAGGGGCAGCATACAATGAATTAAATTCTAAATAAATTAATCAGAGATAGTATGATGGCAAAATTATAGAACAGATCAATATTGTGCCTGCCAGCTAACACAATATAAAGCTCTTCATCATAATGGTAGTTCTCCAGGCTAATTGGTACCTAAACTGATTTTTCAGGTACCATCTGACTCTAACAACTAGGGACAATATTGGCACTGGAAGCACCTATTATTCTGTATTAAAACTGCTCATGCACATATAGGCACAGTAATTAATGTGTCTTTAATAATAGGGAAAGCAATATTGGGCAGCATTGACTGTTTAATTGCGCTGCCTTGTCAAATTTATCTGAAAAGTGAAGCTGATCTAAAAAACATATAATAGCAAACAATGCCCATTTGGTTCCCTGCTTTAGTTTCACCATGTTGTTCCCCGGGAAGGCAATGTCAGGGCTGCAGTAAAACAGTAATAAGGGCAACCTGACGCTCTGGTACAAATGGAAACAATAAATATTTCCGTATGTTTTCACCATCTCTCTCTTTATATGTAAAAATAAAAAATTAAGTTACAAAGGGAAAAATGATGGTGTTTTTTTAAAGAGACCCACCCATGGCTGGACTTCATGCAAATATAGGGATATTCAGTCTTAAAGCTCCATTGAATACTCACTTTCAATTAGCTAAATACATTCCAGGTGTATCAGAACATAAGTTGCACACAGTCTAAAGGTGCCCATACACTTTGTAAAGTACTTAAAAAAACGTACGATCTGCCCATCTTGGACAGGCAGATCGTACCTGCGATCATAGCAAGCCCGCCCCCCTGAGGAGCGGGCTTCCGATGACTGCAATGCTGAACGGGCAGTGTGCGCGTGCGCACACCGGCCCGTTTGGCAGTGATCTCTCGATCATGTTAAAAACCAGCCGAAAATCGTACGATTCTCGGCTGGTTTTCCAACATGCTCGATATACAAACGACGTGCGACCGTATATTAGAAACGGTCGCACGCCTTCCATACACTGCACGATTCTCGTACGATCATGGGATTTCCCGCGATTCTCGTAGGAGAATCGTGCAGTGTTTGGGCACCTTTAAGCTGGCCATACACCTTACAATTATCTGCAGATTTTCTGTGGTCAGATGGAAAAGGTGCAACAGATTCCTCCATCTACACTTAACTGTGTGGATGGAGTAATCTCCACCTGGGCCAATCTGTTGCACTTATTCCATCTGACCACAGAAAATCTGCAGATAATTGTAAGGTGTATGGGCACCTTTACAGTTACAGTAAAGGTGCTACAGCCTAAGTAGAAAAAGACAGTGTTCTGCCAGCTGCATAGTGGCATCCCTGCTGTCTGTGTGGAAGCAGTAATCTCTCTGCAGTGGTCCAACATACCTGCTGACGAGTAAGAGCTAGAGCTCTCCAATCGGTAGGAAACATGAGCATTGCAGAACTATAGGTCTGCCTTCAGTATGGGGGGTGTCAGACCTCTGCAGAGAGACCACTGGCTCCACAGAGAGAGCAAGGGTCCCACTCTGCAGCATGCTGGCTGGACAGAGGCTTCACTACTCAGGATGCTGCAGCTTTAGAAAGAAAACAAGCTGTAAGACTTTGCACAACTTTTGTTTTGATGCACCTGAAATGTATTAAGCTGATTCAAACTGAAGGCTCAATTGGGCTTAAAATTATAACTGTGTAGAGCTACAGATAAATTACAATTATTTGCCCCTATATTTAGCTTTGATTTGTCTGAGCCAAGACCATAGCTTGAGCGTCAGGGATTAAAGGTCAGTCAGATTTATTTAAAGGCCCATTCACACTTGTGTGTTGCAGCAACACATGCTAAAACACGCATTGCCACAATATACCTACCATGTGTGTAGTGTGTTGCGGTGGCATTCATTGCGAATGAATGGCAGTAGAGCCCAACACAATGCAAAGTGCTTTGTGGTACATTGTGTTCTATAAATGGGTCATGCTTTGGCACCCCTATTATACTGAATGGGCTGCCATAACGCAGCCACATTAACCCTTGCCATAACACGCATTAACATGTGTGCATTAACAGACTGAGATGGAACACCTAAGCGTGAATGAGACAAGACTGTCTTGTTCTAGTGACCGATTCCCTATATAAATACTCTGAAAGTTTATGTAACTGAGGGGTAGTTTGCTAACACAGCAGCAGATACATTTTTAAGCATCTTCTATATACCAGAGCTGCGTTTCACACACTGCAGACAACATAATGTACACAGAGATCAGAGACCCTGACAGTGAACCTTTATTCTCAGCTCGCTGATATTTCTCATTCCTTTATCCGGAGAGAATTCCCCACTGTGACTGCTTAACAATAGAAAGCTGCCGCAGATGTTGCTTTTCTCTCCGCCTTGTAACTCTGTGCCAAATACCAGCATGTAGGCACTACAGGAGCACACCGGCTGCATGATAAAGCTGACAAAAGCAGTTGACAAACATAGAAGCTGTGTTTCATTGAAGGTCTCCTTCTCCTAAATGTAATTTTGGGTATTGGACTAATGCCCAGAGGGTGAATCACTGACCAACTTCTATCTTTTGGAGACTCCTGTAATGAGATTCCACCGCAGTATTTTGTCCCTCCACCTGCTCCAAGCTAAATATTTTAGTGTATTTTGGATCTGTCATCTGAAAGACTACACTAGTTCCCTGAGTCTTGATGCTGGTTTGCTGGCAATGGAGCAAGCAGATCAGGCTGGGATGTCAATCAGCATCTCAGAATAGTGCTGTGATTGTGCTCATTGGGCAATGATGTGCTGTTCTAGTAAAGGGAGTCATTACTGACTTACTCATTTTGCAGAGCATGCATCATCAACCCTGCCCATGTAGGGCAACCGATTCCCTTTAATGGTGGCCCCATCAGCAGCACATATTTACCTTCTCTTCTTGCCTCAAGGCTCCATTCACCGATATGACGCTAATAAAAAAATACCTGTTATTTCCAGGTATGAAGAAAGTGTGACTCATTTCCCTTTCTCCCTTGTAAAAGTACTGATGCTTGGTGATTGGCTGACTAGTACCAACACTGTCATAAGGGGGTGGGAGAGAGTCCTCTCTCCCCTTTTGGTGGCCAAATGGAGCAGCAGGGTAAAGCAAAGGGAAAGTGGGTATGGGCAGCTGAACCGAAATAATAGAGGCCTTTATCAGGACTTTACAACATTTTTGTATATATAGTATGTGTTTACCAACACATTTCTCCCACCTCACTATGACTATACTATTTGGCATCAAAGATAGGATATATTTGGGCCAGAAATAATTTTTTATTGATGCATGCTTACTGTTTGGCTGAATCAGTCTAAATCTCTTGGGGAATCTAGCAATGAGTTGTCCAAAATAAATAAGGCCAATAGTGAGAAAGCGAGACCTTCTTGTAATTGCTGCAGGTAGGTATATCTGGGAAGTGCTGCAGTGCTCTGCAGGAATAACTGAAAGATATAAGAAAGCACAGCATGACTTGAATTTGCTGACGTTGGCTGACTGACCCTGTATTAGTAACTTAACTGAAGAGGTACAGACACTAAACAATAAGCCTAAAGCTTCCGAACCACTTGATATAGCTTTGATAGCGGTGAATAGGAGACAAAGGATAAGGCATGCTATAAAAGTTTCCTTAAGTTACCTGACATTGTAAGAAATATTGGCTGAGCCATGTGACTACATTTTGGTTGGTACACGATGGAGCTCAACACCAGGCGAGCTGGAAGGAGCATACAGAGCAATACATTAATGTTCCATAGAATAGATAACTGTGCATCCTCTACTATATGGAATACATCTCACTAGTGCATATTTTCTCTGCATGCTCACTCTACTGCCAGATACCCTCTCCTAGATGGGAAATTGTGATTCACCTAATGGATTAAATTGTTTCATTGTTCATTCTGGTGCATTTAGTGCCTTGGTTAGATCCATAGCTCACTTTCAAAGGGCCGGTGTGGATGCAAACCACAGGATCTGCCCCAAAGATTAAAGAGAACAGGGATAAAAGATTGTGCAGGGTTTCAAGTGTAAGTGTTACAAATAAAAATATAGCTATCATAACTATTGAGGTGTTACCGATAGCCTACAAAGATTCTGAAATGTTGATCTGAAATATGGGTGGTACATGGGAAAGCTTTTCAGGGTAGTACCCCACCAACAGCAGTTTCAAACTTCTAATCCTATAGAGCAGGACACACAACACATATGTCTCAAGTCTTCGAAGATATTCTAGTTGGTTCACAGTGTGATCCAATGTGTGTCCTGTATAATGTTATCAATGTACCAAATGTTGTTAGTAAACAGCAGCCAGTAACCCAGCTGCCTATATAACTGGCCCAACATATTGTCATTTTTCCAGACATTAAAATCTGCTGAATGAACAGAAGCTGCAGAGGCAGAGTCCAGCCTTGGCTCCAGTCGATCCTCACCTTTCCTCTCTGTGTATTTTATATTTTACAGCAATACCATCCCACCGACATCACTGGTCAGCTTAATCTATCCGACCCTTCTGTTAGCACTGTGGTGTAATACAGAGAAGAGAGACATTGGGACTGTTATGGCTTGGTGGATGGTATAAAATGGACCTAAGGGCAGCGCGTTTCGCATTTATGGGACTGGTAAGGAGGAGGTCAGAAACATAAAGAACTCTGGGACTGCATGTATTTTTCCACCTAACCTCTCCCTCTGCTCACCAAACCAAGCTGAATTAATGGATTTTACCCTTCAACATCTCGCTGGAGAGAGTAGAACTGAAGTTTTGTTCCCACTTTACAAATTTGCCTTCCCCTTCACCCTGTTAACTTACTTTCATTTCTGTGTTTTTATTTTAGAATTTTTTTATTTATTTATGTATTTATTTATTTTGAAACCTGATTTTTTTTAAACATTTGAATATTATGAATTAGTATTTTGCTGCTATAGAAGAGGCATTATTGTACACTCTGCTCTTGTTGCATCACCTATTTTTATTTCTTCATCATCACAGCTCTTTGGGTCAGCTGAGGTTTAGATGTAATGCTCAAATGAATTTTCTTTTCATTCCTATATTTTGTTCATTTATCTATTCATTTCCTTTTAAGTGCATCTTAAGTGTCAGGCAGAACATTCTTTTGTAGCAAATGCTTAAAGTTAATTTGTTTGGGTTTTTTTAAGTTTTGTGTAGCATGTCGCTGTTTCTCAAGTGAGGAGATTTTAGCGCCTCTTCCTGTTCGGGTGACACTCTGTAACTCCTGACTCGTAGGGGCTGTTTTATAATATGTTCATATTGTATTACTGCCACTTGATGGAGCCAAAAAGCAATAGAAATTCCTGTGCTCCTTGGCTCCAACTAGTGGCAGTAATGTGCTATGAACGTGTGCTATATGTTGTGTGAACACATTATAAATCAGACCTATAGTGTGACACTGGGAATGAAAATAAGAGGACATCTCCCCTATGGAGAAGCAGAGAGTGATATAAATCTGTCCCAAATTCTAACCCTTCCTCAGTCTACAAAAAAGGGGGTTAATTGCTGTTTTTATTTAATTGGAATAAACTCACTCTCAGTTTCCCAGTGACAGATACAGTGGTGAACAGACAGAAATAAAAGTCATGTGTGGTGACATGTGTGGATGACATTGGACTTAGAAATTCTTCATGGTTTGAAGACAGCTCGGTTTGAGGGTTTCTTATCTTGTATTGAAGAGCAGTATACTGTCCTGCTGTAATGAAAGCGTGACACATGAGGTGAAGCAGAGCTAACACTAATATTTCAAATTTGAAAGATGGACCAGTTATTAAATATAAGTGTTTCAGTTGCGTTTTTATTTGGATATTGCCCTACTAAAACCATAGGCCTCTATCATGGCCTCTGGACCAACCTAGCACTTAGCACATCTTCATACTTCCAACCCCACATTTTCCTTCTAAATCCTTTCTCATATATTCTCTGTTTAGTTCTTTATAATAAAATGCTTTAGGGCTTTTGTTCCAATGCATGGTCCTATAAGAGTCATTCACCTCCCCCAGTTCCATGTTTTCCCTTTTACTTTGTCACTGCACAGACCCGGCTTTCCAATTTTCACCTCCATCTCATCACATAGGTAGCCTTTTCTTTCCTCTACCAACCCTTAAACTATGTAAAATAAGCCTTGTATATAATCGACTGCATATATTTATTTCCATTAATACAATTTATTTTGTTTCACACATTTTATCCAGGTTCTTATGTGTGTTCATTTCTTGTTGGTCTTTTGAAATGTCTTTTTATGCATTGATATTTATTCTTATAAGCCCTTGTGGGTTTTTTTTAAACAATTTCTTTTTTTAATACCTTATTTGTTCAATCCCAGCTTTACCTGTTAATCTTTATTTAGATTAACCTTTTTTAAGAAAGATTCATTTTGGTTTATTGAGGCCCTAATAATGGGAGTTCAGTCCAAGGAAATGCATAGGCTTGTATATTTTATAAGTGAACGTCCAAAATAAAACCTGAACGGAAGACATACTCCTCTTTTATTGGTCCATCTTGCAGATTTTGAAATATTTACTCAACTGCACCTTGTTTACAGGAACGCAGTTCTAGCTGTAACCCCATTCTCTTCAAAACCTATGAGAAAAACTGGTCAGAGTTTGGCTTTAAACCTGTAAGTAGTCCAGGCTCATGATGGGGCAGATAGGTTAAACATTTCATTCTGGTATTTTAAAAACTACATATACCAGCCACCAAGCAAAGCTGCTGGTGCTGATCATTTTCAAAGGCTGTTTCGTATTATTGAAGACTCACGGATTCTAAACACCTTGGTGATTGAGGCATCCTAGATTTAGAGCGCGCCCACACTAAATGGATTTCTCTTTGATGGTTAGATTGGGAAAGACTTGACTTCCCCCAGACTTGATGCTTGTTGGAAAGAACTTGCCACATCCCCAGAATGATTGTAACAGGCCAAGCCTGAATTTTCAACCAAACTACCATAAACAGGTTTCTTCATTTATTTCTACGAAGGTTTAACTATAGAGAACATGATACAGTATTAATTCCTGAAATCTCTAGTGAATTCCTAATAGGAATATTTGGAGAACTGAAAAGATTACTTTAAATAGATGCTACAGCTTTCCTGCGTTTTGCAGAGTCTTTAGCGTAGTTTGACCTGTGACAAAAGTATCCTGGTTACCCAACTGTGCTCAGATTGAGGGAAGTTCTCCCCACCAAGGTTCCAGATAGCATTTAAGACCTAGGGATTGAAGCCATGGCACACAACAAAGAGAAATCCATTATGGGTAGGGTTAATCTTTAATACATTTCTTATTGCACTATAAGACCATATTAATTGTTTCTATGAATTCTTAGCATGCATTTGTTCTCTTATTTCATATGAAGATATTTATGCTCAGGTTGCAACCTGTTGGGGAATTACTGATAAAGAGTTTATAGATTACTGGATACTGTTGTATAAAATATTTTCTGTATTTGCAGATTGTCCTTTTTATTATAATTAAAAGTTGGTTTTGATTGCCCTTAGAACATATTTATCAACATTCTAAAGAATCACCATGTAGTTCATGTCATTGTGTCACCATACCTCACCTTTGACCTACTCAAACCACACCCATATCTTACGGTATTCCATCCACCTATGTAAAATGCAAGTTAGAATTAAGCTTTGTCAATTTGTTCTGTTGTGGGATATGCCTTCAGACTTAAAGAATAATTTTTTCAATATAGCTGGTTGAAGCCGATTTGTTAATACCTACAGCTCAGTCTTATTGTCCTCTAGATAGAGGTTCTTAACCTTTTTGTCTGAAATAATATTCTGACTCAAGTTAACAGGATAGCTAGGCTCCTTCCCCAGTTCAAATTCTTAACCATAATGGGTGTTGATCCAAGTCCGGGCCATTTTTTGGTAACTAAAAACCTGCCTGTAAACTTTTTAAAAAAGGGGCCTTAGCTCTATACATTGACAACCACATGCTGCAGTTAAAAAAATTAAGAGCTGATCTGGGCTTTCCTATTGTTAAACTCTGCACAATATCACTTTTATACATCACCATATTAAAGTACTCAAATACATAAGAGACAATTGATTGGTCTCTTATTGGTTGGATCAGTTGACGTTCTTATGTCTGTAGATACCTTGAGATGGGGTTGCGTGGAAAGATAGTAATCAGGCAGATTAGAAGACCTGCTTAACTTGTGCTTATTCCACCCTCATGAGAAAATTGGGCTATTGCCAATGAGCTTGAGCCATCTGCAGTGCTAGCTTGCCCTAAGGCTGGTCAGATCATGGCTTCACATATGACAACTCTGTAAAGTCAGGGGTAGCTTTACTACCCCTATAGACTGGAGTAGGCCACATTTTGGAGAGCTACTTTGATAGTATACAGCTTCAAACACATATTTCCAAGTTTATGCTATTTAGACCTGGTTCTTATATGTATTGTTAAAGTAAGATCTAAGTTACCCCTATTTCAGGTAGCAAAACTGAGTTTAGATTTGTGCATTTGTAAAATTCAGTCCCCTAATGCAGCCTCTGATGCTTGTGTGAGTGTTCCTTACAGGGCTGAGATAGCAAGCTCACACAACTATGTGTGAATCCCAGTATTATTATGCAGCATTTGCCTCCTGTGGAGGTGTTAAGATGTAAAAATCAGCAACATATTTTAGATATAATACAGAGGCTGTATAATAGCTTTATTATAAATATATACTGTATATATTGTCAAGAAACTAAATGCTGTTGAAAACTGTTTATTTAACATTATTTAATATTTGCATTCTTTAAAATGTATCATCTACAGCCAGTCTGTCTATCTATCTATCTATCTATCTATCTATCTATCTATCTATCTATTTCTCTCTCTCTCTCTCTCTCTCTATCTATCTATCTATCTCTCTATCTCTCTATCTCTCTCTGTCTGTCTGTCTGTCTGTCTGTCTGTCTGTCTGTCTGTCCGTCTATCTATCTATCTATCTATCTATCTATCTGTCGATTTATCTATCTGTCTGTCTGTCTGTCTTCTTTATCTATCCTATTTATAGTATGTAGGTTATAACTACTAGAATCATATTGCTATTGATTCAATTCACATGAACAATTCATTTCACTTTACAAAATTTAAAGAGAAATTTCAGATTAGCTGTTATAAGTTACTTCTCTTTACAAAACTGGTGAACACAGAATTATTTTAATGATTGTTCTATCTACTCAATGCCTCTCTAAAATCTTAATAGTCCTTCTGTGAGGCAAGATAATAATCTCATTTTGGAATAGGCCATATTGGGGGTGGTGCACGTTAAAATAGCTACTGGCTTGTCATATTTCTAAGGATCTCGCTCCTGGCCATTGGTGGAGGAAGAGAGCCTTACAAATCTCTCTATTAGAGTCTCTGAATGGGAAGCCAGTAGGTAAGTCATCTCAGCAGAATCCCTCCAAAGGCGAAGTATTCTTTTTGGATGAACTGATCCTTTAATTCAGGCAGGATCCATTAGAATGGTACTTGAAGTGAACCTGTACCCAGACTATGCACACTATAGTATTTAAATATTCTGAATAAGCAATAAAACACTTTAAAACATTCCCCTCTGTAGCTATAGGCATTTTGGTGAAATTCATTTTTGAAATTTACTACATTGACACTTTTTCTGTGAGGGCCAATCTTCTAATGCCAGTCCTCTAATGTAAACACACAGTCCGTGTTTCTAAACTGTTAGAAACTGACTGAAACATCACTGCAGAGTCATCATTGTGATTTTTTTTGAATAAATTACTTCACAGTACATGTGGCTAGAGAGGTCAGTGATGGCTAGGTTCAAAGTTCCTTTACTGCTTGTTAAGAATATGTGAATAGATTTATGACCATAGTCTGGTCACAGGG